CACACACACACACACATATTCAGTCCATGTGTTCTGTAAGCCTTCATACATAGTGATGAGTGATCTAAGCAGTGGGCTCTGGAACCCATTAGCAAGGCAGCGTGGGAAGAAGCGGTGCACTATGGGAGAATGCCATGTCTGTGTGTGTGGGGCTGTTGTCATGGCAACCCCTGTATCTTGTTAAATCTCTGACAAGTCCGTCTTTCTGTCTGTGTGCTCGTCACTGTTTTTGAGCGAACGCCTCTTACATTGACATGTGTGTTTTCATCTCACTGATGATGGAGGCTTTTTATTCCCTCTGGACTGAAGCGACCTTTACTCATGACACTGACGTACAAAACTGGAGCATCAGATTTTAATCAGAAAGAGTGTGTGTGTGTGTGTGTGTTGTGAAAGTGACCGAGACAGAAAATGTAATTATGGTCAAATGGCCTGCGGATGTAGCTGCTTTAGAGTAATGACCTGTGACATTTTCACATAAACGCCATTCATTTTGCTGCTTTGTCAATGATGGATGTCAATCCATAGCAATCTATATCAATCCAGCTTATTCCCTGTCTAAAGCTTTTATTTTTCACTTCTGAAAGGGCATTCCTAAGCAAATTATGTGCTCAGGAATTGAAGCCTAGGTTAGGTTTTGGGTTTGTTTGGAATAAACTGATGAAAAACTGATCATTATCAACCAATGTGGGAGAACAAACAATTATCAAGAGAAAATCAAGGATCAGGAAAGACAGAACAGTACCGCCCACACTGTATGATTGACTCATAAATTCTGTCATACGATGTGCAAAAACTACTTAAGATGAACGCCTGTCACAGAGGACATCATCAATACTTGATACAATACAAATGCTTCCACAATAAAGTGCAAGTACAAAGTGTTGCAACTATATAGTGGCAGGAATGTGTTCCAAGAACAAACAGATGGCATGTTAAATAGTAACACTGGTCCAAAATAGTTTGCCAGGATACAAACAGATTGCAAACAAGCGGAGGTGATAATTGTTGTTTTAAGGAGGCTACAAAAGGATGTGATGTGCCTCGACAGTCTGGGCTTTAGCAAAAGAAGAGGAAGTCTGTGCCAAGTGTAGGCGTTCTCCACTAAATGATGTAACCCTAAAATCCACTTGCAACTGTCTTCTCACTTAAAGTAATGATTCGATTAATTTGCATTTATACTCCTCGTTTTCTTTTTTGTCTTCCCTTAGATTCCACCTTTTTCCCCGGTCGCTGCGCAGAGATCTTCGTTCGTGGAAAGAGCGTGGGGCGTCTCGGCGTCCTCCACCCAGACGTCATCAACCGCTTCGAGCTGACCATGCCCTGCTCGGCCCTGGAGATGGACATCGAGCCCTTCCTGTGATTTCACCTTCCTAAACCTAAAACCCTGCCTAAAAATACATAGTTTATAAAGCAATGGGATTCATGAGGAAAATATGAGGCTTAAAATTTGTTAATAAGATAACGGCTTTTGAGGTTAAGGTGTGCTGCAGATTGGTTTTCTCCTGCACCAGCTACAAAGATAAAGGACCAAACTGCAGCATTATTATGTGGAGCCATTGTGTTTTATATATCAGTAACAAGGCTGTTTTTTTTACTGAAGTCAGAAGAATTAAAAATTAACAAGACTCCATTGTGTTTGTGACGTGAATGGTGTGCATGCGTGTGTGTGGGCTTGTACATTCATGCCTGTTCTTAATTTAGGTTACTAGTGCCTTGGGGTTGGTGCATGGTCATTAAACTCAGTGACTCATTACCTGTTGCTTTGTTGCCTTGGTTCTTCCAGTGGCCACACAGCTGAAACCACCCTCACACACGACGTCCCCATGCAGGAAGTAATCAAGCACACGTTCTGCCCGCAAGATGCATCCTCTCAGCCCCCGTCCTCCCGCCCGACTTCCACTAAAACTGTGTTTGGTGACATGAGTACGCCAGCCGGCCTTAAAGCTCTCAATGATTTTCTGGCAGAGAAAAGCTACATGGAGGGCTTTGCGGCATCCCAGGCTGATACAGCAGTGTTCGATGCCATCCCTTCTGCTCCCTCTCCGACCTTCTGCCATCTCAGGCGTTGGTATAACCACATAAAGTCCTTCCAGAGGGAAAGAGCCAGCCTCCCATCAGCCAAGAGTCAGTTTGTCCTCCCAGCTACTCCCCCCGCTTTGACAAACAACACCAGCGACGACGACGACGACATCGACCTATTTGGCTCAGACGATGAGGACGACGGCGCAGAGGCGGCTAGGATCAAGGAGCAGCGCCTCGCCGAGTACGCCGCCAAGAAGTCCAAGAAGCCAGCTCTCATCGCCAAGTCCTCCATCCTGCTTGACGTCAAGCCCTGGGACGACGAGACAGACATGGGCAAGCTGGAAGAGTGCGTCCGCAGCGTCAGCATGGACGGGCTGCTGTGGGGGCAGTCCAAGCTGGTCCCGGTGGGCTACGGCATCAAGAAGCTCCAGATAGGATGCGTGGTGGAGGATGATAAAGTGGGCACAGATCTGCTGGAGGAAGCCATCACCGCCTTCGAGGAATATGTTCAGTCTGTGGATGTGGCTGCCTTCAATAAGATCTGAATCATGCTAACACAGAATAAATTCACTGAGTGGTACCATCTGATGTCTTCTGGTCTTGGTTTTAGATGATGTAATATGAAACACAATGTTCAGCCACTATTCCAGCGTCCATTTAAGCTCAGGTCGTTCATTTGAAAAGACTGTTTATCCTTTGATACAAGTACAAAAGATTCTTGCCTTCAAACATCAAATAAAGCCATTCTAACTTTTGACTGAGTACTTTGAATTGTGTTCTTTTCTTCCCCTTTTGTCATGCATGTTTTTATCAGCTAACAAGTACACAGACTTCCACTGTATCTGATGCCTTACTGTCATTTCAACAGACGCTGTTGCAGCAAGTAGCCTCCCATATGAATGTGTAAATTCAGTCTGACAGGTGCTCAGGCATTCCTTCAAACTCTGCTGTAGAAAAGGGACGGTTAACTCTTTCATTACTCCCCAGTCAGCACTAAAAATACACTAAGCAGGCCCATTTGGTTAGCAGATGGCCTGTTCTAACCTGCCAAGTGATATGACTTACAGGACAAAGGCAAACGCAGGTGCCATTTAAATGAAGTTGCCAAGTTTCAGTTAAACTGGTTTTGATGGTATTTACCCTACTGGTGTAAGCCTGTCTGGCTCAAGGTGGGGTCCTCCCATTGGAAGAGGACTTTCATGTTGTGTAGCTGCTGAAATACACACCAGTGCAATAAGAACGTGCCACCGCCTTGACTACACAGTTCAAACAATGACAAAACTGGGAATTAAGTTATAAAAACTTTAATGATGCCTGAACAAAATATCGTATTTGCTTTCAGCTCAGTTACAAGTACACTGTTCAATCATTCCCCGCCGAAGCTGCTTGTATGAGAAAGTTAACCTGTAGAAAAGGTCATTTGATGCACATTGAAATAAATATGAGGTACATTTGTGTTCAGTTCAGGTCATTATACATCAGTCTTGTGATAATAGATCACATTAGCCCCAGTAGAATGAACACTCTATTGACCAGTATAGAATTGACAAGTCCAACAGCAGTGTATGTGGTGAACTTGTAAGGCACTTCAATCTCTCTCCTCCTCCTGGCACTGTCGTCATTTTTTGCCACACCGTACCATGAATACAACACCTGCAGGCTCAAGCTTTTCACCACCTGCCGAGTTCCCACTAATGCTACAACTCCCACGAGGTGGCGGACAGCACCTAGTGCCAGCACGTTTGGCGTCAGTGTGGGTAGGGGCACAGGTAGCACCCCCTGGGGATCAAATGTCTGCCCCAGCTGCTCATTCACCCAGTATCCCACAGAGCACCCAGCCCCTACTCCTAGAATGATGGTTGTGTCCCCCCGCGTGGTGCTGTAATGGTCCAGCTCCGGGTATGTGTAGCTGAGGAAGAGGGGCAGCAACAACCCCACGATGGGGGAGATGCGGCTGGTGAGCTGGAAGTGGTCGAAGGTTTCCCAGTATGGGTAGGTGAAGAACAAGAGGATGGCGGACAATAAAGCGCCACTGATCACATCCTGAAAGCAGAACAGTATGTTTAACCAGCCACTCCTAAAGCAATAGTTGAATAATAAAAACACTTTCCTGCCAAGAGTTAGGTGAAAAGATTGATATCACTCTCGTGTGTGTATGGTAAATATAAGGCTACAGCCAGTTAGCCTAGTTAGCTTTGATCAGCTGGAAACAGGTGAAACAGCGAGCCTGGTTCAGTCAGTCTGCCTAGTAGCACCTCTAAAGCTCACAAATTAACATTAAAAACATTTGAAAAAAAACAGAAAGAAATGTTTAAAATGACAAGTTGTGGTTTTACAGGCGCAAAAAAACCCCGTAAAAGCACAACTTGTCACAGGTTTGTCCTTTTACTGATTATATGTGTTAATTGTGAGTTATAGAGGTGCTGGTATGATTTTGTTACCTTTGGACAGGGCCAGGCTAGCTGTTTCCCTTTGTTTACAGTATTTCTGCTAAGCTAAGCTAACCAGCTACTAGTTTTAGCACTACGTTTAATAGACATGAAAATGATTTGAATTTTCTCATCTAACTCCTGGCAAGAAAGCAAATAACCTTATGTCCCAAAATGTCGAACTATTATTTTTAGGAATAAAAATACTGATAAATGTATCCTTAAACATAACTCATTTAATAACTTATATTAATATTATGGCATCAAGATTTCCAAATGAAAAGAAACAAAGTGGCTTCTGCATTAAAAGTCTTGGATCAAAGCCTCAGACAGACAGTTTAAACAGACACACACATGAATTATGAATCCTGCATTGAGCTTGAATGTTTTATGCTGTAGTTTCTGTGTGTGTGTGTGTGTGTGTGTGTGTGTGGAGGGACTAGCTCACCAAAACCGAGTGCATGCCAGTGTAGAGGCGGCTCAGACACACCAAGGACGACAGCGTCACTGCGATCAGCAGACCCACCTCGAATTGGAACTGAGAGAGAAAAACACACACTTAGATCACCAACCATCACAGCGATGTGTAGATACCCTCACACACACAATGACACACACCCCTCCCTGATAAGGGTGAAGATGTAAGATGAAATGTGTGAAAGTAGACTGTTATGTGTCACGTGCGGCTAACATTCCTCACATTCCTCGTTGAAAACACAAGAACAGTTGTCATTTGGCACTTTTTATCCTCTTCCTGTTAGTTTGTCATCAAATCATCCATTCGTCAATCCTCTTAATCGTGACGTGTAAGTCCTCTCTCTGCCACTTGATCCATTCTGCCGGGTTGACGTACTGCCGTCATTAAGTCACTGCTCCTTTATTCCTCTACTGTCTCTCCATCTTCTCTCCCCTCCCTCCTTTACCTATGGCGGCAGGTTTTGTTCCCCCCCCCTCCATTTCAATAACAGTGAGAAGGGAGGCCTTGTGTATTCATTCACCTCCTCCACCCTCCCCTCCTGTGCCACCCCCCCTCCTCTATGCCTTTTTTCCTGTGTCTTTTCCTGTCTTTTGCAGCTGGAAGCCTATTCACTGGTAGTTCATGAAGAGAGGGGTTTTTTTTGAATGGCCACAAAGGACGCCAGGGACAGGAGGGGGTCACTCTGTGATTGACTGTCGTGACCTCCGACCTGCTTCGGGAACCAGCCGAGTTGCCCTGAGGCCTTGTGGCTATTCAGGAACCTCTGCAACAGCCTGCTACTCATCTGTAGCTATGCATGCTCTTTTATTTCAGGGGAATCCTGGAGGACTTTCAGGCCACAGTTAAGTGATCTGCTTTACACGGGGTGTCTCAACGGGTTGTTGAGAAGATTTCTTTGACCTTGAGAACGCCACTGCAGGAAACTGAAGGCGAATAGCTGAAATGATGTGGCCACAAATCAGGCCGACAGCTGCTGAGGCTGTAAACTACTAAGTGAAGGATTTAGCATTAATTCAGTTCTTCATTAAAACACAGCGCTTGATTAAGACAGCCTATGATTGAGCCATTGAGTGTTTTATTGACTTGGCAGTGGAGTGGGAGAGATAAAGAGGGGAAGAGTCAGGAGGAGGAGGAGGAGGGAGGTGGAGACGTGGACTGACAGTCATTGACTCAGTCGAGTCCATCAGAAGACCAAACAGCAGCTCGACGGGTGTGGCTGATGGTGACTGATGGTGACTGCTGGCCCCGCCCCACCCTGCCCATTGTCCAACAGCTCAGTCAGGACTCTGTAATGGACAGCGGGGCCACTCCCTTCATCCCACTCAGCTACCAGTGAGCAAGCTGCCATCCACAGGCTCCCAGTGCCTTAAATTGTAGTGCATTCAATGCTTTGATCTGAGTGAATCTGTTCACTTGGATCAACTCATTTTAACTGGTGCCTCGCTGATCTTAAAAGGAATCCATAAAATTCAGGGGTAATGTAACAGCACTGCTAATGAGATACCTAGGGTCACAATTACAGTTCAACTTCCACTTAGCCTTCGCTTCCTGGCTCTAATGAGGTGTAAGTACATCATTTGCAGCAATGGTGGTAATATAATCTTTCATAGTAATGAGTAGTGTAACCATAGACTATTACAGTTTCAGTATTAATATTACAATTGCCAATCAAGAAACCATGTACAGTGACTGTTATTGCCATCTTTAAATATCAGACAATAATGGAACAAGTGGTGGTATTCTGTTTCCATAATCATTCACAGGAAGATGCTTCTATTATTATTATTAGTCACAGAGAGATTATGTATTTAGAGAATATAACAAGTTATTTAAAAATGTGTGCATGGAAATATTTTTTCACCCTTGGAAAGAGTATTCATTTGAACTTGGAAGTCACCAACCCTGACAGAAAAATCCAAGATGGCTGCTCCATGCGTCAACTAAGTGAAAGTTATTCTGTTTATTAACACCTGTGACTTTGGTGTCTCATTTCTCTCACTTCTATCTGTGGATCAACTGGTACTGCTAACAGTGGCTTCTGGCTAACCTAGCTAGAGCTTGGTTTCCGACTTGTTTTTTTAGTCTGATAATGGTGCTATAACATGAGAATGTCTGTGCCAAATGTCATCCACATTGTGGCTTTAGAAGAAAAGTCAGGGGATCGCCACAGTCATTAGGCTTCATCCTCTGGGCACCACGAATGTCCGCACAAAATTTCATGACAGTCCAATAGATATTTCAGGCTGGACCAAAGTGATGGACCGAGCAACAGTCCAAGATTGCCAATGCCATTCATAAAACCAACAATCTAATGTACATTAACATTTACTACACATGTAATAATTACTAAGCAATATCAAATTTGTGAGTAAGTACTGTAGCTCCCAACTGCAAAGATTACCTTTGTATCTAATCACAGCCATCAGTGACGCTCACCTGTATCCTGGAGGGAGCGCTTAGTAAAAGCGTGAAGGAGATGGCGGTGGCGGCCATGGAGTGGGTGGAGGGCAGCCCGTACTCTGCATTGACACGCGTCTCCAGCTTGACCACAGGGGGTGAGAGAGGGCGAGGCAGCTTCAGCAAATCTTTCATCACCTGGCCGATATACATCACTACCTGAAAGAGAAGAGGACATTGGTCTCTTACAAGTAGGGTCCCACCAAATATCTTTTATTACATCCAGATGGCACTTGTAATGTTTTATTAATAGATATTTTTTGAAAACTTAACTCTGAATTGATACAAAATTAGATTTTTTTTATCAGATTTCACACATTTGCATGAATTCTGATGGGAAAAAAAGGTTAAAAGAACCATTATTCTATCTTTCAAATGCAATATTGAGCCTTATGTAAAGAATGCAGGTAATTTTGTATTGTTGGCTTCATACAGTATAGATTAATCATCTATACCTGACAGAAATACGTCTACTGCATCATTACAATCAAATACCAGGAAGGAACAGAGAAGATATACTGCAGTGTGCTGGCTACAAAAGCAAAAATTAGAGATGGAGGAAGATGATAATAAAATAATGAGCAGAGGAAGTAAAATCCTGATTAGGCTATGCTCTAAAACTAACCACTGTCTCTTATAAATAAGTAATCACCATTCCCACTCAAGAAAAAAAAAAGAGTGGAGACCCACCCTGGTATAAAGTGCACATGCTGCAGTCATACAGAAACA